AGAGAGAGAGAAAGCAAGAAAGCAGCCGGCCAGGTCCGGGATTCAAGCTGTGAAACTGTGCTTGGTCATGTGGGAGTCCAGCACCCTTAGCCAACACGTCACCTGCCAGCTCCCAAGAACTAACTTCTTTATGCTAAGATCTATACTAGAAATACCAAGGTGCTCTGAAAGAATATACCTAATGCAGAGCCGGTCAGTGACATGGTGGTTAAGAGAGCCAGCTGGAGGTGTGGTAGTGAAGGTGGCTGGATCTTCCATGGCTAACTGAAAGGTTCGAATCCCACATCCTGCAACTTGAAGTGCATGTCTCCACACAAGTGTGCATGTGTATCTAAAATCCTAAGAGGTCAATAGAGAAGGGATTGCAGCATGACCATCCACCCCGGGGGATGCTCTCTCACTTTCCCTGTCTCTTTCTCTGTCTCTCTGGCAAGTGTGCATGCCCTCTAGAAAAGTTTAAAAATAAATAAATAAAGTGGGAAAGACAAGCACATAGATAACTTCAGGGCTGGCTCTGTGGCACAGTGGTAATACACTACTCAAAATAAGCTGATCCCGTGTGATGAATGTGGTTCAAATTCTCAGCCCAGTCAGCCCATAACACTCTGAGCACGTGTGCTAGTGGCCAAAGTATGGCAAGCTAGATGACTGGAAGAAGGGGACTGTGGTGTGACCAGACTTTGTGGAAGGTACTCCTCTCTCTCTCTCGCTCTGGCGAGTGCACGTACATGCTCTATCATGAACAAAGAAAAAAAAAAGAATTTCAAAATAATGTATTAAATTAAAACATGAAAATGGTATCTTCTGATATAGGTCTGCTGGACCAGCAGGCTTCCATGGCAGGCTTCCTGCAGGACTTACATCCCAGAGGCTTGGCTTGGAATATTGGAGAACTTCAATAAAAGTTGCCTCTCCTTCTAAGATAAAGTGGGGAGCAGAGGGCACTAAGATTACACCATCCTAACATAGTCTTTCCCGAAAAACAAGCATAAACATTGAAAAACGCTTGGCATATGCCAGACCTTTATATAAAGCACCAAACGCACATTGCCTCTTGCATTTTATCCCATTCTGAAAATAAACAGGAAATGAGACTCAGAGAGTTAAATAGCTCACTAGGTCACATTGTTAGTGGGTGACAAGAACAGGCCTGAAACCTCAGTCTGTCTGATTCCACAGCCTACGTTCTAAAACAGTTGCCATGTTAGAGGTTTCTTGTATTGTCCTTTACGAGTATGCTAATTTAAAACAGTTGTAATCTGAGTTATGACAATTCTGCGACCTCAGTTTTCTACTTTGTATTAGAGATCTGTTTTTATATTGTTATATAGAATGCAATGTGCCATTTATTATGCTCAGAATAACCTTATTTTATATCGTGAAAGTCATAAACAACCTAAATGTAGAGTATCTGAGAAATGTCTATAAAGAAATATCCGTCAGACAGAATCTTACAAATCCACTTAAAGTTATGTTCTGAAGATTACATGCTTATGGCATACAAAACATGAGGACTTATTGCACACCAGGACACTCTGGAACGTTTGCTTTTATAAATAATGTTGTAACAGCATCTTTATGAAGGACTTTCTCATACTTAATTACATTGTTAGGGTATAATTTTAAAAACTGGGTATCTTGGGGACCAGCAGGTGGCATGGTGGTTAAGTGGCTGGACACTCCTCATAGTTCAAGTCCCGGACCTGGTGGCTTGATTTCTGTGTCTCTCCCTGGTCAAATTAAAAATAAATGAATAAGTGAATAAAAATTAAATAAATAATTCTAAAGAAAAATCCTTTAAAAAAAATTGGGTATCTTGGATACAGCCTAAAGCATTTTTGTGAGATTTTTGTTATTTATGTTTTCAATGTCAGAGGGTATGTATACAGGAGAGAGAGAAAGAGAGAGAGAGAGAGAGGGAATGAGCGCACCCTCCAGCAAGGCCTGGTCATGCTGCAACCCTTATTCCTCAAATTCTCCATCCCATCAGGATCTGAGTATGCCTGTGCCAGTATGTGTATATTTTTTCCCCCAAGGAGCCTGGGCAGGGACTGGAACCCTAGTCAGCCACATGTAGGGCTTAACTGCTTCCTCTGTGCAGAGCTTAATTGCTATGCTATGGGGCCAATCCATCACTGTGGTTTCTTGAGAAATACTGCTAACTCACTTTCTAAAAGGGGAATATGACTTTGCAATACTACACCATGTATGAAAATTCTATTTATTCCCCACCTACACCAATAGTTGGGCAAATGTATTTTCCTCATAAATAAGAATGTGCCTTATTTGTATTTCACGTTGTTTCTGTTCGCTATATTCTTCTCTCCTGGATCGTTTTATTTTGCGTTTTAGGAATTCAAAGCCCGAATCAGCCAGGTTCCCACAATTAACAAATTTCTCCAGCCTGGAAGCCAGAGGAAGCCTCCACTAGATGAAGAATCCATAACGACTGTGAAGAACATATTCAAATTTGAACATGGCATGTTTCTTAAAAACATGAGCACTATAGTAGCCGAATATTAATGAATGAAGAGGTCTAAAGATTACTCAGCATAAATTTCATTCTACATTTCTAGCAGGGCCCAGAAAAATATAAGGCCATGTTAGTAAAGTAATGAAAGCAATAAAAAGAATAAGGAAATGAATGACCTCTTGTCTGCAAATCCCTTTTTTCATTTTTCATAGGATAGTAAAAACATCAATTAAACAAACCATCCAATAAGAATGCCTAGGCATTCTATACATTGCAAAAAGAGTAAAATCATCAGTAAGCAAATGGATGTCAAAGATTGCTTTAAAAAATGGAATACGTTTATTAAAATCACCTGCTTTTCTATCTTTTGGGAAAAGTCCTGGACACAGCATAGCTCCAAACTAATTTTTTAAACTTCCAATCAGTAGAGTATTTTAAAGATATATATTTCTAGCATCAATTTTACATTTAGTTTCTACCTAAGTATCATAATCATAATTTAAGTGTAAGTTGTTGGTCTGAATCTGAAGGCTCTTCTCAGCCATCTTTCGATGTTGGCAAGTATGTAGAACACCCCAGTGACAATGGCTATTCCAGCCTTGTTTGTGGCAATTTCTTTGGCACCATTAGGATTGGTGAGATTTTTTTTTAACGACTGTGAAGAACATATTCAAATTTGAACATGGCATGTTTCTTAAAAACATGAGCACTATAGTAGCCGAATATTAATGAATGAAGAGGTCTAAAGATTACTCAGCATAAATTTCATTCTACATTTCTAGCAGGGCCCAGAAAAATATAAGGCCATGTTAGTAAAGTAATGAAAGCAATAAAAAGAATAAGGAAATGAATGACCTCTTGTCTGCAAATCCCTTTTTTCATTTTTCATAGGATAGTAAAAACATCAATTAAACAAACCATCCAATAAGAATGCCTAGGCATTCTATACATTGCAAAAAGAGTAAAATCATCAGTAAGCAAATGGATGTCAAAGATTGCTTTAAAAAATGGAATACGTTTATTAAAATCACCTGCTTTTCTATCTTTTGGGAAAAGTCCTGGACACAGCATAGCTCCAAACTAATTTTTTAAACTTCCAATCAGTAGAGTATTTTAAAGATATATATTTCTAGCATCAATTTTACATTTAGTTTCTACCTAAGTATCATAATCATAATTTAAGTGTAAGTTGTTGGTCTGAATCTGAAGGCTCTTCTCAGCCATCTTTCGATGTTGGCAAGTATGTAGAACACCCCAGTGACAATGGCTATTCCAGCCTTGTTTGTGGCAATTTCTTTGGCACCATTAGGATTGGTGAGATTTTTTTTTTCTTTTTTAAGTGAGATATTTTTTAAATAGTCATACATTACATAATAACATTTCAGTCAACAATAGATTGCATATATGACGGCGGGGCTGTAAGACCACCACAGGCTACACCGTACTGCCTAGGTGTGTAGTTGGCTATACTGTTCAGGTCTGTGTGAGTGCGTTCTGTGTTCTCACTGTGATAAAAATCACCTAATGATGCATTGCTCAGAAAGAACCCTGTTGCTAAGCACCATATTAAACTGCAAGGTTTGTTTTCTTCCCTTAACTGAATTACTTATCTGTGAAAGTTTAATGACCGGGGTTCGAGTCCTGAATCTGGTGGCTTGCTTCCTCACTTCTTCTCTCTCTCACTCTCACCCTCTGTCTATCTCTGGTCAAATTAAAAAATAAATGAATGAATAAATAAAAAAGAAAAGAAAAGAAATATTATAAAATAAAAGTTTAATGACCTCCATTAAAATTAGTTGGGAAAGATAATCTACTTAACGTCGCCATGTCAACTCTGCCGATCAGCTGGCTGGGGGTGGGGAGAACTTACATAACATTTCATTTGAAATCTGAGATTGTATGGATGTAAGCAAATGGATGTCAAAGATTGCTTTAAAAAAAAAAAAAGTAAAACAAAAATATGTTTATTACCATCACCTGCTTTTCAATCTTTTGGGAAAAGGTACCAAAACAGTATCAAAACTGCAGATTTTTAAGAGTTCTAAGGGGTTTCCTCAATCATTTAGTTCAGATTTGTCCTAAAGGATAAGATACAGAGTTTCAAAGAGGGGAAATGATCCTCCAAAGAGCATATTAGGTTAGTGTAAGAATTGAGCCTAAGGTGCCTTGGACAGTAAAGGTCATAACTATACCTAAAAATGAGGTGGTGATTTAAATAAAATCATTCCTGTTTCACATGCAAACAGAGACAACATCTGCTCCTGAGGAAGAGTGTCAGCTAAAATATCCCTCTTTCCCAAACCCTCTCATTGATAATCGGGCACTTAAGTCAAGGGTGGTTTGAGAATATAGAGAAGATACCACAATGAAAGACACAGATTTAAAACAAGATATCCTTTATTTGAATACTGAATATATTCTGTTAGGACAAAGTGTTCTGAGAATAGAATTTTCTAAAGAAAAAAAAAATTAATGGCACCAACACAATTAAAATGGAAAAAATACAATTTCTAACATAACAAAAAATGATAGGCAGATACATTATCATTCTGTGAAATCCATTTAAGGAATTCCTTTATCTGATAAGCTGTCATTTAATTTAAACCTACTTGAGACATGAATATTCGCAATCATCAAAAAATAGCACATATAAAAATAGATACAGTAAACAAAAGAATATGTTGCTATTCATTAAACACCTTTAACGAAAGCAGTGCTTGATAATTAGAAAAAAGTTTTCATTGGGAAAAAAACACTCAAGCTAGTGTTTATACTAGAGGCGCCAGTGTTATTACTTTTGTTTCTAACATAAGGTACAACATTCCATGTTGAAGTTTATCTTTTAAATACAAAGAGTACGCTCTCCTCATTACAGTACGATGGCATGAATTTAGTTTCCATTCCTCCGGGTGCTCAGAGCAGCAGTAAGACGAGTCTCAGGATCATCATGAGGCTAGATTAAAAATAAAGGCAAAGAAAGGGTCATCTAACCTGGGTACACGGACTCCCACTCTATTCCTTGGAGCAGGCTGTATTCTAACTTCCCAGACATGACTGAATTAGCCACTTTAAAATGCCCACTGGCCAGTGGTGGCCTGGTAATTAAGGTGGCTGGATCACACACGGCCAACTGCGTGGTTTAAGCTTGAAACACATGGTAGGTGCATGCGCATGGACACCCAAGATACCAAACGGAAGGAGAAATGGAGAAGGGAGGGCGGTGTGACCATCCTGATGGGGAGGAGAGGATGTTTTCTCACTTTCTCTCTCTCTCTCTCCACCCAGCACATATGCTCTTCAGCCAAAAAAAAAAAAAAAAAATTGTTGACTAAATGCCAGGAATCAGAACTCACTATTCTGAAACCTTAGAATGAGAGAAAAATCTGGGGGAAAAAATCTTTCAAAGCTAGTAAAGTAAAGCAACATGGGATCAGCAGTTGGCGTGATGCGTAATGGCTATGTCGCTGGACTCCCATGTAGTCAACTGCAGTTTGAGTCCCAGACCTGGTGGCTTAAACTCACGCCAGGCGCATGTGCATGCGCACCCAAGATCCCAAGAGGAGAGGGGATTGTGGCGTGGCCATCCCCCCGGGGGGTGATTTCCTGCTTTGTGCCTCTCTATCTCTCTCTCTCTGTCTTTTTGGCAAGTGTGTGTGCCCTATTTCAAAAACCTCTCAAAGAAAATTAAAGTAAAGTAAAGCAACTTGAACAAATCATCAAGGTGCCATCATGGGTTACCGACACAATCTCAGCTACTTTCCATTGGACTTTCTTGAGCTGTAAATCCTATCTGTGATTCTTCCCATCTCAAGTATAATTTTTAGAACAGTGCTATAATTGGAAACCAGTCTTTTGTAATCACACGTCCTCCTTTCCCTAGAAAGAAAGCCACAATAGAAAATTCTACAGAAAAAGTAGAAAGACTGTTAAAATTATTCATTATACCATCCCCTAGAGAAAAACACTACTAACAGTTTGCTGTATTTCCTACCTATCTTGTTGCTGAATTTTTAATTTAATTAATTAATTAATTAATTTAAAATTTTGCTATAGGGCACATACACTCACCAGAGAGAGAGAAAGCTAGCCACCAGGCCCTAGACTTGAACCATAGTCAGCCATGTGGCAGTCCAGTACCTTAACTACCACACCACCTGCTGTCCCACCCCCGTTTTTGTTAAAGGCAGTATCCCTATTGCAATCCTCAGTCCTCCTGTCTTAGTTTCCCAGATAGCTAGCAACACAGGCATGTGCTACCATGCCCAGCTCTTTATTTATTTATTTATTTTTCCCCAGACAGGGTCTCACTATGTGGCCCAGGCCCCTCTCCAATTCACAACCCGCCGGCCTCAGCCTTCCAAATCGCTGGGATTACAGGTGCGTGCCATGGCACCTGGCCGACAGAGCACAGTACCTTAGCAGCATGCCAGGTCCCATCTTGTTTTCTAGGCATAAACACGTTTTAAAAGTTGGGATCACATACTTTGATTGTTTTGAATGCCATTTCTGTACCTTTCTCAGTTATTAAGATTTTCAAATACCACAAGTAGTTTTTAAAAAATGCACTATCTGCTGAGTATTCCTTTAAATGGAAAAGACATTTACTGAAATGTTTTCTTACTGGTAAACTAGGTTGTACTTTTTTTTCTTTGCAACAGAGATTTTTGCTATCGGGTACATGCACTCACCAAAGAGACAGAGATAGACATACAGCAAGAAATCCCCCAGGGGGAATGGCCACGTAGCAATCCCTTCTCCATGCTCCTCTAAGGTTTTTGGGCATGTGCACACACACACACCTGGAGTGAGTTTCAAACCTCTGGGTCCAGGACTCAAACCACTCTGCTATATGGGAGTCCAACAACATAACCATTACGCCAACTGCTGGTCAAAGCTTACTCTTTATATTAATTTCTTTTCAAAACAGCAAGAAACCAAAAAGCATTTATGTTTCAAAAACAGCTTATAAGGAAATATATGTGTTTGAATAAACAGCTGTGCTGAGTGATTGGATTCAGCACATGTTGGAATCGTACGGCAGTGGATTCTAAGAACATCATTTCTAACAATGTGCTTACTTGTTCTCTCAAGATCTCCTCAGGTGCCAGGGGAAAACTGCTAGTCCGTATACCTAGTTATTTTCATTATTTTTCCTCATGACAAGTCGCTTTCAGGGATAATCAATAGAGTTCCTTTAAATAACTAATGTAAAATTCAAGAAAAGCTTTGATTTTGTTAAGATTTAGTAAACATCATAAATCTTTCATTTCAAGCTTCTTTCAGAAAAATGAGGATGAATTTAGCTTTTACTGTGAAAAAGGCAACCGTATGTGTGTGATGATCATCTGACAGAGCAACACTAAAGTATATTCAATAAGAATGTCCATG